GTAGGCGGTGGTCGTCTTCCATTTTCTCATCGTCTTGCAGTCTTGTGTCCCCAGTGGAGATCAGAAACCAAACATAGATGATTCACTGATATATAGAGAGTGCTTAGACTCGTTCAGGCGTTGACATGCAACGAGGCAACGAGCCAAGAGGTAACAAAGTTCGTGGAGCTCATTGACAAGCGCGTACAGGCGAAGCGACCTCGACGAAATCACCTCCAAAACTCCAATGGCTGATCTCCAACGACAGCCTATGCAACTCTTCCAGTTGTATGGCAGGTCCCTGTCCGTCTCCCACCCCGCAGCAGGCGGTCGAGCTAGGCTGATTTCCCCGCCCGTGCGAGGCCACCGGTTCGAGTAGCGATTGAGGTATAGCGTATGTGTTGGACTCTTCGCCACCCGCATCACATAATTACCATCGCAGCACACAATAAACACACGCCTCAAAAGGCAGAGGGATTAAGTGAAGCTTAAAAAATTACAGCGATTGAGCTAAAAGACAACATATGAGACGTCTACGGTGGTCCCTTGGCAGCTCCCACTCGCCCAGACCATCCGATCTTCTTTGCGTCATCCTCCTTTGCTTCACAGCTGTCCAATTCAAGTAAAGGGAAACCGGCGAAACGTTGTACACGCTGCCAATTTTAGTTTTCACTCAATCCCTAAACTTATCTGAAGACTGAACACTCTGAAATTCAGATAACGTTTTCTCCCGACTTGCAGACAAGACACCTGTAACTGTACGACCTAGCTGTATATAGGCCACCTGGCTATAGTGAGAAGTGAGAAATCACTCCTAATATTGCTACGTTATTAGGGCAACAACAATGTATATAGCAAAAATAATCCATATAGATAGGATCTACATATATAAACTATAATTATTATAACCTTCACAATGCATATAGATAGCAACTAGTATTAGGAGAAAATAGAAAGTAGAGACAAATAACATATTTTATTGTATATGGTAGTGTAATGTTGTTAGGTGGTTGAATGAAATATTGTGTTACTTATGGACTAGTTTCAGACTACATTGTAGAGTAGACTAGATTTAGGCCCTCTTTAATTATTTAGGCTTATAAGCCAACTTTATAACTCGAAAAGTCTAAGGCCTGTTTGATTCAGCTTAGGATTATTATAATCTGGATTATTAGGAGTAAGTTGAAACAAACAAGTAGATTATTATGCTAGATTATTATAATCTATAAGCCAGATTACTATAATCCAATAATCTCCTCTAGAGGAGCTTTTTTCAGATTATTGAGTGGCTAAAGACCCACTACCCTTAGATGCCTCTAATAATCCAGAGAAACAAACAACTCGTAGCTTATTTTATGTCGGCTTATTATAATCCAGCTATTAGAGTAATCTGATTTAATAATGTATATTAAATTTTAAGCTGAAACAAACAGGGCCTAAGTTTAAACAAACAAGCAGCTTTTCCGTTTGGCTTTTTTTAAACTATAAACCACTCTAACACTATTAAGTCAAAAGCTAGGTTAGAGAAGTTTTTTTTTGCTTAAGTGAGATAGTTATATGACTCCTCCATTCAACTAAGGGCATTAAATCCACCAGGTTATAAATTATATAAGCCAATAAACTAACTTAAAAGTCTAAAGCAGTAAGCCCTAGCCTGAACAAAGAGGGCGTTATTTTAGAACATAACTTCAATCTTGCAGCGGGCAGAAATTAATATACCTGATTTGTCTACTCCCCGCATCATTTCATTCCTGAAATTACCACGGTCATAACACTAGCAAGAGGTGACAAAAATACAGATTGGGATTAATTAATGCAGTCACAACTAGCTAGAACTGCAGGTTAATGACTGCATAGGATCTCATTCATTCATTTTTTCCCAACGAAGGTAGTAGATTAAGTACTACAGTACCATCTGCTATAGCAGATAGCTGTTATTTTTTTTCACGAACAATGCTTAAACAATCTCAACCATTCGATGTAGTTTCAATAGCCCTAGTGTGACTATTAAGTTGCAGTCACGCTAGGGACTGCATATGAACCTGATCTCAGGAATACATGGTGTCCTGATAGAGATTTCTCTCTCTACAGCTGAGTTTGTGTCGGAATCACTAATCTGACACAAAGGTGTATTGGGTGGAGGTGCCGTGGGTTGTACGAGGTTCGGTGGATAAACCCGTGGGATTAGAAAAAGAAGCAGGGGAAGCTTGGCCCATACCCAAAAAAGTTTAAGCCATATGCCTGATAGCGCGCACAACTCTTGGAGCAGAATTAATGACCAGGGGATCGACTGATGGATTATGAAATTTCGGTCGCCTATAGAAGAGGAAAAGCTTATTAATATAAAAGTAGGATTGACGGATGTGTAGGTGAGGGATATACTCCCTCCATTCCAAATTGATATACGTATAGTTTTTTTTAGGTTATTCCTAAATGATCTACATATTTGTGTTCATTTATTGAGTCTATTCGTTATTTGTGCATTGGAGTAAATGGACATTGATGCATGTATCCATACACACAAGTATTTATAACCTACATGCAATATCTTGATTTGCTATTGGTTAGGAAATATTGGGGATGGTGTATGCATCTAGTTTATTGCTAGAGTAAATATAGTATGAGAGAGTTATTAGCTTTTCTTGGTCTTGGTGTACCTATGAAATATGTAGATAAATATGGAATGGAGGGAGTATACAGTAGTGATCAAACTTCTTGATTTATGAACAGAGAATAAGTAATGAAGTAGAAATAAACTTATTTTGGCACAAGTTTTAACCAAAAAAATCAGTTTTATTTTGGGGTAGAGGAACTACATACTATGGTGTGAATAATTTTTGTTTCTATTACTATCGATCTACTCCCACCATCCTAAAATTTAAGCATTTTTAGTATAGTGACAAGTCAAACATTTTTAACTTATACTATTAATAACAAGAAAATAAAAAAAGATCAATCATGTAAAATTGATTAGTAGATTTATCATTAAACAAAACTATCATAATATGCATCTCTTTCTATTAAAACATCTTATTTTTATAGATATTGTTGGTCAAAGTAACATCTCAGAGACCGTGTCAGAGTCCAAAAATACTTATATTTTGGGACGGATGGAGTACATGATCCAACACGATCTGAGAGCTTAGATTTTAATTTCTTTTTCCTCCAAACGTAGTAATTTCTATACCTTCAGAGTGAAGGTGATTTATCTTTTCAAGCTAGCTTTACTGTACAGTTAACTATGTAAACAAACAAATTAATTAATTAATTACCTATAACATTGTAAGGTGTTTAATTTTTTTGTAAGTAAAAAGTTTTTTTTTAACTTTGATCAAGTGTGAAAAAAATAATCAACACAATAACAAGTAAATATACTATCATGACATACCTCATTGTGGATTTTAGAGAAGATTGACTCAGCACAAAGCTATCTGAACGGATTGAGTATTGAAAATTTGAAAACCGGATGTGAACAAGTATTTTAAGAAACATAGAAATTTGTTTGAAAAAATCACGACGTTTTATGAGCTTTAGAAGCGTGCATGTAACAATCTGTTAGCTAGTATAGCACTTTCAAAGGAAGCCTTTTTCAACAGGTTGAGCTGTCGCTGAGACTAAATAGCTCTGTGATTTCGTCGTGAACATAAATGGACCACGTCACAATTTAAATGTCAAGCGACTTGCAGGTAACAGATCATCAAATTCGATCTTTCGATGGTTCAGTCTTGGTGAAATTTCATATGGGTGTATCCAGGTATTTTTCTCCTATTAAATCCTTTCACTTGCAGTATAATCTTTTTTTCTCCTATTAACACATTCTGACTTTGCATGCATGACCATCATTATGTAGAAAGCGTTGCGTTGTTGACCTGTAAATATATGCCACTTCTTGTTGACTTGTTGGGCCTTAGAAGAAAATTGCTGGATCAAAGCTGGCTGCTGGTGGTGGTGAATATAATGAAATGGAAATCGTCAGTTGATCCAATTGTTTTGGTCAGGCGATTGTATAATATGCTCTTTTGATATTAATCTTCCACATGGCTAGTTAAGGGCTTCTTATATATATTTACTACCAGTTGATACTCCGTGTTTTGGTGTGACATGTAGATAAATGCATGTTATACATTATAGAAATAGAAATGGTACATGTGTATGTTAAAATAATATGAAAATGATATGGAGATAATGATTTGACATTGCTTTCATAAAGTTCTACAAATACAACAAAATTGTAAATGATATGATATATTTGTATGATATTTAAAATACTCTAGATAATAATTGCTAGTGGGTAATGATGTGACACACTTGCATGTTGAGTTTTAGAAATTAGTGGACATCAACTTTGTACTAAGATAAGATACGATATAATGTTGACTATACAATATTATTGGAGTATGTAGTTTTCTCGGAATATGTTATGACATATGACCATATACTATGTTAATGGTGTATGATATTAATGGTGTAGGAATGTCAAAAGCACAAAAAAAAAAGTACTTGCATAAACATGGATGACAACAACAAGCATATATTCTGATTTGGAGTCACAAGAAAATACTCCTCCATCCAATCAAAAATATTTTTTGGGAATTGCTAAACAACTACCTACTGAAATTTTTTGTTTTGTCAGCTGAGTTCGCGAGCGTTGGATTTTTGAGTTTGCTTGCATGATTATCATTATATAGAAAGCGTTGCGTTGTTGACTCGTTGTATGTATATGCCGGCCACTGGAAGGTGATTGGTAAGGAAAATCGCAGACAAATCAACGGTCGGATCGGACGCTGGACAAACCAGCTTATTAGACGCGACGAGTAGTATAGGAGCCAACACAAATTTGTGTGAGGGAAGAGGTTGAGACGGATAGGGAGCAAGTGGCCGAATCGTGACAGTGCTACAAACAGAATGATTTCATAGTAGTAGTGCAACTTCCTTTTTCCGATGTATCTTTTTTTTTTTTTTGCGGGGTTTTTCCAATGTATCGATCATTGTTGACTTTAGCGAGCGCCAGCAGTTCAGTACACGCAAAACGCACAGCTATATATGTGTACGCTAATCATCCATGAATTGTCCCAACCTCATTTCCTTAAACGCCTACGCATAGCTCTCACCATGTATCCGCCTCTGGTTCTGGTCCTTGCAATCTTCTTCGCCGTGGCCACTGCCATAGCGGCCTTGTCGAGTCCCCTCCCGCACCCACTCGACCCACTTTCTCCCACGGAGCTCACGGCGGTAAGGTCCGCCGTCCTCGCCTTCTCTCTCGTCGCTTCCCGCCCGATATCCTTTCACTATGTCGGCCTCGATGAGCCGGAGAAGCCCGATGTCCTCTCTCACACCAACGCCGCCGCCGCCGCCATCCTCCCACGCCGCGCGTTTGTGATCGCCCGAGCCGGCGGCCTCTCCCATGAGTTTTACGTCGATGTCACCAACACCTCCGCTCCCCGTGTGGTTTCGCATGGTATTCACGATGGCCCTGGCTTCCCAATGTTCACGACCGAGGAGCAGGTGGCGGCGGGACAGCTTTCACGCGAGTACCCTCCCTTCAGGGAATCCTTGCAGCGACGTGGGCTGGCCTTGACCAATGTGGGGTGCGGGGTGTTCTCCATGGGATGGTTTGGAAAGAATGAGGCGAGGCGGTTGGCGAAGGTGCAGTGCTTCATTGTTGCAGGCGGCACCGCCAATTACTATGCGCGGCCACTGGAAGGCGTGACGCTGCTGGTGGATGTCGAGAAACTGGTTATCGTTGCGTATAGAGATAGGGCAGCGTACTCGGTGCCCAAAGCTGAGGGGACCGACTACCGCGCCGGCAAGGCTAGGCCACCGTTCAACGGAGCGGTGCCGGCGCCTGGCGTCGTGGTGCAGCCGGAGGGCAAGGGCTTCCACATAGACGATCATATTGTCAGGTAAGCCCCTCCAATTTGCATGGGGTTGTTACTTGTTACTTGCCACCTCTAAAACTGGTTTACTTCGCGTGGTTCTATCGACAATTCCTTGGGAGTACCAATGACAGCTGCCCTTGGTCAAACGGTTGACAATATTCAGAGAGCAACTTCCCAACTTAAATAAATTGCATGTATTAGCACTGAAATATTTGACCAACCGGTTTCAGTAAACTTTTGGGCTCATGTCTTTCGACTTTTCGCTATATAGAATCTTCCATCAAGATTCGTCTTCCTGTAGGCCCAACTTATAGTTGTACTTAGTTATATAGCACTTATACTTAGCAATAGAAAATTTATGCTCAATTACAATGGATTTATACACAGCTACAGTGAAAAAAGATTTTACAACTGTTTTTTCTCTAGATTTATGATTTTTGACATATTTATCCCCCTTTTTTATCATTTTATTTAAAACGGGTTGTATCTATTAGTGGAAAATTTTGCAAGATTTAAAGCTCCAAATCTATCCATAAATCAATAGGTAGTACCTTTGACAAATTGAACTAATTCATGAGCTACACTGCTTGAGCGTGACTGCAGGTGGGCCAACTGGGAGTTCCACGTGGGTTTTGACATGCGAGCCGGCACAGTCATCTCTATGGCTTCTGTCCACGACGCTGATGCCGACCTATGGCGGCGGGTTCTCTACCGCGGTTTCGCCTCGGAGATCTTCGTGCCATATATGGACCCGGAGGAGGAGTGGTACTTCCACACATTCATGGACGCCGGTGAGTACGGCCTTGGCGTCTCGGCTGTCCCGCTGCAGCCTGAGGCTGATTACCCAGCCAACGCCGCCTACATGGATGGTTATTACGTCGACGCGGACGGCAAGCCGGTGAAGTCGGAGAACATCATCTGTGTGTTCGAGCGGTACGCCGGCGATATTGCATGGCGCCACACCGGGGTCGCGGGACCAATCGCACCGGTGATCTACCATCGACCCCTCAAGTGCGTGTGTGTGTGTGTGTGTGTGTGTGTGTGTGTATAATACTAGATGATGTGGCTTTCGGTGCAGATCACGGAGGTCCGGCCAGACGTGACCTTGGTGGTGAGGATGGTGGTGACGGTTGGAAATTATGACTACACATTGGACTGGGAGTTCAAAACCGTTGGCTCCATCAAGACCGTGGTATATAACAATCTTCTGTTTGCTTGCCGTGTTTAAAGCAAATTAAAGGTAAGAACTAACTCTTGACTCAATTAACACACGTATTGCAGGTGTCCCTTAGTGGTATCTTGGAGATGAAGGCGACGAATTACACACATGTCGACCAGATTAGAGATGACATACATGGCACGCTGATTGCCGAGAACACCGTCGGTGTCTACCATGACCACTTCATTACCTACCACCTTGACCTTGACATTGATGGTACCAAGAACTCTTTCATCAAAAATACCATCATTCCAAAACGCAACACGGGCGTTCGTGCAACCGGCGGTGCTCCCACACCAAGGAGCTACTGGACGGTACTCTATGAGGTGGCCGAAACTGAGGCTGAAGGCCAGGTGAACATTAATGGCGCACCTGCTGATCTCCTCTTCGTTAACCCAAGCAAGAAGACAAAAGTTGGCAATGAGGTCGGTTACCGGCTCATTCCAGCCGGTGCGACGGCAACATCATTGTTGGCCAACAACGACTACCCACAGCGCCGAGCAAGCTACACTAAGAAACAGGTGTGGGTTACGCCATATAACAAGTCGGAGAAGTAGGTGTCCGGGCTGTACGCCGAGCAAAGCACGGGAGATGACAACTTGGCTGCGTGGAGCAAGAGGTATGTCACCTTGAGCCCATGGCTCCACATTTGTGTACCTTAGAATACCATATCGCTCATTATACATCCCATGGCATGCGTATGTTGGAGCAGAAACAGAAGGATAAAGGACGAGGACATCGTCCTCTGGTACACGGTTGGCCTGCACCATGTTCCGTGCCAGGAGGACTTTCCTGTGATGCCGATGATTAGTGGTGCATTCGAGCTCCGGCCATTCAACTTCTTTGAGAGAAACCCGCTGATCAGGACCAGGCCACCCGGGAACTCCCCAAACTGCTCGTGCAGCTTTGGAAGATCCGGATAAGGTGATCGATGCTGCCGTGCAACTTAATTATATTTGAGATGTCCTTCGTACTTACTCGGATAATGTCGAAAATCTAACTTTGTGACGTTTTTGTATCATTTAATTTCATTTTCAGTACCAGTTGAATAAATTGTGTTTAAGTTGTGAGAAGTCAGGCTCCATCGTGTGGTTCACTGTCACCTTCCTAATGCCTAAGCTTTGAAGCTGACTGCAGTATCTCTCATATCCACATATATTCTGTCACTTGCATACGCTTTGTCAATCAAATGTCAATGCCTTCAATTATTGCTGCTGCCAAGGTTACTGTTCCACCATCATAGATCATGTAGGGTATACATATGCATATAAGCATATTGCTTGGTCACCTGGTTAACGTCATGGCTTTGAGCTAGCTATATGACCCAAGCATGTTTTCATCGATACCACGAATGGTAGCTTCATTCCAACTTTGGCAGTTTTTCAATGTGCCCACGCAACGCGCGGTGGTTCCTATTGAATGAAATATGTAATTTGATTCTATTGTGAACTGCATATATATCATTGGTGGAGAAGTGCTTTTTACTCCCGGTTCGTAATCCCCAGTAGTCCCGGTTGGAACCGGGACTACGAATCTGGGACTAAAGATCGCTATCTTTAGTCCCGGTTAAAGCCGGTTGGTAATACCAACCGGGAGTAAAGAGAGAATAGCGGTGGTCCCAAATGATCTTTTTTTTTTATTTTCTCCCAAATCAAGTGGGATGCATATCCCCAAATCAAAGTAACATCCCAAATCCACATCACAAATAAAGTAACATCCTAAATCCACATCACAAATCTTAAAGTTACATATACATCACAAATCCTAAAAAATTACACACAAATCAAATACATCACAGGTCATCTCAGATCCATCCAATAAATCACAAAATTATACATGTGAATCACAAATTAAAAAAAAAAGAAAACAGCGCCGTTGCCGCCGCCCGCCGGCACACCGCCGGGCGCGGCCCCGCCGGCCGCCGCCGCGCACGGCCCCGCCGGCTGTCGGCTGCCGGATGGGAAGGGGAGGATGGGTAGGAAAGGGAAGAGGAGGAGGTGGAGGAGAGGGGAGGGGATGAGGAAGGGGAGGAGGTGGAGGGGATGGAGGGGAAGGGGAGGATGGGCAGGAGAGAGGAGGAGGTGGAGGAGAGGGGACGAGGAAGGGGGGAGGTGGACGGGATGGATCGGGATGAGGAAGGATCGATCTGATTTAAACTGTAGGAAGGGGAGGAAGTTCGACCTGTGGAGGAGAGGATAAGGGATAGGGATTATATACTACGCTTGAATTTTAGTTCCGGTTGGTGTTTCCAACCAGGACTAAAGATCATTTAATTTTTAGTCCCGGTTGAGAACAACCAACCGGAACTAAAGTGGTGACACCAACCGAGAGTAAATATCCTCGGCCCCCTGACATCAATCTGACAGGGGATGAACCGAGATTAAAGATGATTTTTAGTCCCGGTTGATAACACCAACCGGGACTAAAGATCATAGATGGCTCTGGGGTTTTCAACTGGGACTAAAGATCATTTTTACTTCCGGTTTTTTTAGAACCGGGATTATTGTGGTTTTGGGTCGACCCAGCAGAGATCATTTCTCCACTAGTGTATGTTAGTTAGACTATGAACGAAAGCTGCAGTTTAGTGGTATTAATCGGTACTACACCATGTCAGGTGCTATCGGGCTGCACCTTGGGAGTTGGGATGTGTCACCAGGGCAAGCCCATGAAGAGGGGACAGATAGAAAAGGCAGTATATAAACAACACTTAGCTCGGTTCCCAAAAATACGTAATACGCACGAAAAACGGAGCGGTCTATTTGCACGTGATTAATTAAGTATTTGCTAATTTTTTTAAAAAAAATAGATCAATATGATTTTTTAAACAACTTTCGTATAGAAACTTTTTAAAAAAACACACCGTTTAGCAGTTTGAAAAACGTGCAAGTAGATAACGAGAGCAGAGTTTGAAACCGGCTGTTACCAATATAGCCTTAGGCCGAGTTTAGTTCCAAACTTTTTCTTCAAACTTTCAACTTTTTCATCACATCAAAACTTTCCTACACACACAAACTTTCAACTTTTCTGTCACATCGTTCTAATTTCAACCAAACTTCCAATTTTAGCGTGAACTAAACACACCCTTAAAGGAAGGATGAAAGAGAAAGAGCAATGCTCTGGTGCTATCAGCATCTGCTGATAGTATTATAACCATTAAAAATAATCCGAATTCTTTGTTAATAAGGGTAAATTAGTAATTTACTAATACATTAATTTGGGGTATGTCATTTTTATTTTTGTTCCCATCTCATAGTTCGTTGCATCGCTGATATCCCATAAAAAAAAGAGAGAAAGCAAAACGAAGCTTCTGCATGTGGATAGCTAGTCCTCCTGTCGACGGTGCTTGTGGATCGCAATTCGCAAGTCTCTCCCGCCGGCGGCGTATACACTCCGGCACCCCTGTCAGATGACAAGTCCCTTTTAGAAAAAAAGGATTGATAGATAATACTCCTTTCTTATTTTAATATATGATGTCGTTGACTTTTTTACTAACGTTTGATCATTCGTCTTATTTAATTTTTTTTACAAATATAAAAATATTATGTCATGCTTGAAGACATTTGATGATAAATGAAGTCAATGTAAAATAAATGATAAGTACATAATTTTTTTATAAGATGAATATAAAATAAATGATAAGTACATAATTTTTTTATAAGATGAATAGTTAAACATTGTTAAAAATTCAACGATGTTATACATTAAAACACGGAGGGAGTAAAAATTCAACGATGTTATACATTAAAACACGGAGGGAGTATGAGTTTGAGAGCTGCTTTCATTTCACTGAACCGTCAAATAGACTGCAAGCTATTTCAATGCTGAACAAATCCAGCATATAATTAATCCAGTGTAGGGGTTGGGTGTGAAACGTAATCCAGTTCCCTTTCTTCATTGCAGGAGGTTTACCTGGTGACTCCAGAAGAAAAACGGAAATGGTAAACCCTTGCCAAGTCTCCCAAATTAAGCCCCTGATCTTACGTAATGGCTGTCGCTGGAGCTCGTCGACGATAGCGTTTTTGCACATTAACTAAACATCTCAGCGATAGAGTTTTTGCCCCTGATCTTCTATGTATCTCAGTCGAGTTGGCGAGCGGCGCTTTCATGTTTGAGCTGCGAGATGAGAACCCTTCCGCACCTGCTAGTTTAGTCACTGCAAAATAACAATTATACCCCTCCTCATATATTTTTAAGAAAATCCCCTATGTACAATTGATAATTCGTCCAATCATTTATGTATCCCTGAATTTTGCCTCATCCCTTATATACACCTGAGTTTTCATTTAGATCTCCTCTATACCCATTACGTTAGTTGACCATGAGTTGACCGTTAAATGTTTTTAAGATTGACTATATTACCCCTCTCTTATCCTTATGTGCTAGTTTAATGATAAAAACACAATTATTATATGACAAAAATATCTATTTGTAAATAAACAAAGGGAATATAATTATTTGACAACAAATTTTAAAAATAAATTAAAAAAATTTAAATTAACTTTTATGGTATACGTATATTGTTTTCATCAAAATTTGAACCCAACAAATAAATAATTTTGGTTCACAATTTATAGCTAAAACTCTTATATGGATTTTGTAAAAAAAATAAATTTGTTCAACAGTTTAAGTTTTCTTTTCAATAAATAATTATGTCACATTTGATTTTATTATGAGTTACAATTTTTCACATTGTGAATTATGAAAAATGGGCGATATGGTCATTTTAGAAAAATTTAACAGTCAACTCACGGTCAACTAACAGAATAGGGATAGAGGAGATCAAAATGAAAACTCAAGAACATGTAGGGGATGAGGCAAATTCAGGGGTATAGAAGAGATTGCGAAACTTTTTAGGGTTATGTAGGAAATTTTCTCTATATTTTTTGAAGAACCACAATGCCTTATCACGTTTCTACTACTACTAACTAAGGTGGTAATAGAAATATATTTGAACCATTTGATCAAATGAGATCAATGGTTCAGATTTCTTTCTACTATTAGTAGAGAGCGCACCATACTGGGGCCCTAACAGAAAACAACGACTTGGCCATGGTGGCTCGGCGCGGCGCGGCGCGGTGACAGCATCCTATTTCCTGGCTTGGAGCCTTGGCGATTTCCTTTCCTACTCTCATCGATCTTTCTTCCAGCCCCCTACCTTAGCTTCTAGAACCTTCTAGAGCATGTGTCATCTACCTCTTTTCTTCTTCAGTTTCACCTCAAACAGCTAGTTATACTTTGAGTTTGTACTGGAGATTGTTGTTATTTGTTGAGAAAAGAGGTCCTTTAACAATCTGGGATCAAAGCCATCGATCCTTGCTTGAGTATACAATGAACAATCAAAAGAAATCAATGGATTGGTACCTAGGTAGGTTACTAGAGAAATTTGTGCTATATGTTACTACAGAAATACTCTCAACAAATAACAACAATCTCCAATACGAACTCGCATGTACAGCTAGCTATTTGAGATCAAACTGAAGAAGAAAAGAGGTAGAGGGTACAAGCACTAGAAGGTTCTAGAAGCTAATGTAGGGGGTTAGAGGTAGGGAAGGAAAACGCCAAGGCTCCAAGCCAGGAACTAGGATGCCACCGCCTCCAACCCGTCGTTGCCAAGGCTCTGTTTTCTATTTTGTTTGATCAATGATCCTGTAGTTGGCTGAAACCAAGAGCATGTCAATGTTATATCATACAATACTATAATGTAATAGGAAATTCTAATGAATAAATCAATTCATTCATTTTTTCCAAGTTTCATTGTTTTAGTCTGTTTCCCAGGAAAATTAGAAAAATTCACAATAACTGCCTTTTGTTTGAGTCTATTGTTTGAGTAAGCAATAAGAATTGGAGCCAATAAATTCCCAATGGGAAAATTCACTTTTTCTTGTTAAGGAAAAAAGGCAAATAATTTCTCAAATAATAACCGTTGAAACCCGTAACTGCCTTTGTTCAATGGGAAGAAGAAGGCAACATCTTCAAATTCCCAATTGTTGAAACTTACTACCTCCGTCCCAAAATAAGTGCAACCATAGATATCCGTGTTTAGCACTTTGACCATCCGTCTTATTTAAAAAAT